TTGTTGCTGCTGTGGTTGTTGTTGTTGTTGTTGTTGTTGTTGTTGTTGTTTTTGTTTTTGGTTGTTGTTGTTGTTGTTGTTGTTGGTGGTGGTGGTGGTGGTGCTGGTGGTGGTGGTGCTGGTGGTGCTGGTGGTGCTGGTGGTGCTGGTGGCGGTGGTGGTGGTGCTGGTAGCAGTAGTCAGCAGTGGCGGTAGTAATCGCAGTGTTCAGCAGTAAAAACGATGTGTATATTGGCAACGCTAGAAGATATTATCACCAAGACATCAAATTTTTTGAATGGCACAGATCACCCTGCTTGCACGGTCACGTAGTCCATGCTCGCTAAGTATTCCAGAAACCCGTTCAGGGATTCGCAATGAATGTTTCTGGCTGCATAACTTCGAACGAACAAGGCTTTATCAAGTATGGTGCAAAGTTCGTCGCTGTTGGCTTTAGGACCGGATGTTTCCGCACACATGAAGCTCCTAGCTTCGCAAAGCTGTATGAAGGTTTCAGAGGTTTGGAAACAACACCCGCAATCCCTTAAGGCCCCAAGTGGCCGTCCCAGCAGAGATGAAACCTCACCTTGGTTGGAAGGAGCGCACGTTGGGCTTTGAAGACAAGTGCAGTCCTTCACTCTGAAAAATAGTCGGTTGAAGAAGGTCGCACAGGAACCTTTGCATTGGCATGATGAACCATGTGTAACTTCTTCTGGATATGTTGTGATGAGTGCGTTAAGACTTTCGTGTCATCACACCTGTTTCGGCTGGCGAGAGGCGAGAGGGTGGTGTTTATGCCTCGCAGACAAAGTCCTTACATGCACTGCTTCTACTGTGATTCCGCAATTAAGAACATGATTGCGTTCGACTCGACGTGAAATGCTTGCGGATATCAAACGTATCGCTGCTTCTGCTGCTAGTGCTGACTCAGAACGTGGTTTACCAATCTTCCGCGAAGGTTCCCATGGGTGTTGGAAACCCTAGGTGGATCAGCTCATCTTGACTTAACAGTGTAATTAATCTACCATTGCGAGTGTTGTTGATAATTCGAGCGTACTAGTCACTAGTCTTCTCATGGTGTGGACTTGCTTCGGGTTGTTGCGAGTGGGTATGCATTTACATATATGTACATACTTATGGTACTTATGTATGTATGTACGTATGTATGCATGCATACATGCATGTATGTATGTATGTATGTATGTATGTATGTCTATAGTCTATAAACCGGACAGTAATTGAAAGCTGCATGCCCACGTTCGCATCCGGCAAGCTGCAATGAAGCCGCTCGATGTGCAAACAAGCGTCAGCCTTCAATCCCCAACCTCTGCCTGGCCATGAAGCAACCATTTTAAGAACCCTGTTCTACTTGCCATGGCCCTCGTGGTGTGATTTTGTATGAAAACTCCCCTTATCAGCATAACTTCTTGTTGAGGCGGCTTTTTCAGGGTTTAGGGTTTAGGGTTTAGGGTTTAGGGTTTAGGGTTTAGGGTCTAGGGTTTAGGGGTCTGAATCGGTCCAAGGAGCAGAGCGTGCCAAGGCTGTGGCCTGGCACCTGGCTCCGGCTTTGCCATGATGACCCTAAACCCTAAACCCTAAACCGTTACAATTTTCATCGACTTTGATTATCTGAGTGCTATTATGAGTGTAGTATTCTTTGTATCCTGTCTTATAATTCTGGTTGTTCTTGTTGCTCTGACTGTTCTTATTGCTGTTATTCTCCTTAGTATTGACATTGCTGCTATCCTCTCATGCTACTACTAAGTCGGGTATTGTTACCCAAGTGCTTATATTTTGCAGCGTTGCTTGTACTGGTAGTAATACTTTGCTTCTGATGATTACTATTGAATCCCCGCAGCTTAAAAATGACTGTAGCAGGGAGCCAAACAAAACAACCCTTTTCAGCACGGACTGAGGTGCCGGCCAGCGCCCAACCCTAAACCCTAAACCCTAAACCCTAAACCCTAAATCCGCAGAGGTTTACATCCTTTACAGGGTAGATACAGGTGAGTTACGGCTTTTTCAAGGTTTTATAGGGGTGCGGTACAGCATTTGTGGGCTTTTCGTAGGGTCGTGCTGGACTTGTAGATATTATGGGGTCTTATGGTGTTTTGTTTATTTGGGATTCAGAAAGTGTAGAGGGTTCGACATTATGGGCCCGGGTCTGCATGTGCTGCATCTCGCAGTCATCATCCGAAGCTGTTAGCTTCTGACTAGAACACTAACCGGTTACAGCAACTCAGGGCCTAGAGATTTCGAACTCCCTCGCCTACACATGCCTGCGCTCGTCGCAGTTGCTGCCTATGCGGCCGTCGTCGACATCGCATCTTCCTTCTCCTGTCATCCTTGAGTTTGTCACTACTGTCGTCGTCGGAGTCAGAACTCGACATACCGAAGCTCCAGACCCGGAAAACAGACGTCGAGTCGAGGCCTAACCCTCAACCCTGAGATCTCAAGACCGCTGATCTAAAGAATCTAAGCCATCTAAGCCCTTTAGCTTTATTTCCAACTTTGCCAGGGGTCAGAAACACCCTTAACTATAAACCCTCAACTTGTTCACCCCAAGCCAAACACTTTCAGGCCCCAAACCCCACCAAAATGAACTCTAAACCGTGAGCCCTAAACCCTAAACCCTAAACCGCAACCCGGGCACAGCACTGCGAGGCAAGAGATGCACGGCCAGTGGGAGACGAAGAGCCAAACATCTCCAGTCAACTCTGCGTCGCCAGGGCCTTTGGGGCTGGGGGCTCACATGGGAGTTTCTGGAAATTAGGGTACCTTATTTTGGGGCCCTTATAATAAGGATCCTACTATTTAAGGTACTATATTAGGGTCCCCTATTTGCGGAAACCCCCACATGGTCCTTAGTAGTCCTTAGGGCTTACAAGGTCTATAGGGCTTCAGTGAACTCCACGTCTTCCGGGCCCTTCAGGGTTTGCTCTGGGGTTTCTCGGGTGTGGGATGTAGGCATAGGATTTCGGGTTAAGTGTAGGGTTTACAGGATTTGGGGTTTACCGCAGAGAAGGCTTATAAGCTTTTCAGGGTGGTCGAGGCTTCCTGTCCTCAGGATTTCGGGTTTCTATTTTTTTAGGAGATTTCGGGCTTGGAGATGGGGGTTTCTGGTGGTTTAGGGCTGATCTGAGGCGCCGGGGCGTTAGTGTTAAAACGCTTCGGGCTTAGGGCCATTCAGACACAAGGAAAATATCTCTTGTAAACCCGAAGGTCGGACGAAGCGCCCCGGAGCCCTGAACTGCCCCGAAAGCTCGCCAGACTGTCGCCGCTAAGAAGCCGAAGCAGTTTTAGGGTTTTGAGTTTAGGGCGGGAACTTTACACAACAATTGAAACTCCGACCTGAACCCGGAAAGTGGGTAAAACAATGGCCCAACATCCATCCAAAAAAAAAGCCATGATCCTACATACCTTGGGGGTCCAAAGCAAGACAGCTATGTGGGCATGAGAGCTCCAGAGAACCATCCAGGCTCGGGGATGCATTCACTTCGACTCTTGGGTCTGACCACTGTTCTGAAAAGTCCTAGGGGGTTTCGGGTTTTTTTTCTTTTGCACGACCCTTTTCCCCAACATTCGGCGAGGGGTTTAGGATTTAGGGTTCTAGGCGCTGAGCTCTGAGAGTGCCACGTAAACTCCGACCCCTGGCCCCGAAGCCCTCAGCAAGAATCCCCTGCAAAGTCCCTCGGAACCCCGGAACCCCCAAAACTTCCAGAAGCCTGAAGCATTTCGACACCCTGCTACTCCTACTTTCCCAAATTAAGCTATCCCAACGACACTTCTTTCGCACGAGGCCGCCCCGAGTTGAACAGCAGCGGCCTGAATGGCCGGCGCAACGCAGGGCATGTGCGAAAACCTTCACGGTGTAACAGGCTTGCTTCATATGGCATATATGGCTTTCGGATTCGGCACGAGGGCTGGGACTTGGGTCAGCTATGGAAGGCCCTTCTGGACAAATCGGGGAGCAGACCGGGTTTTTGGTGACTCCTACTTCGCAAGGACTGGGATTCAGGCTTGGTGCTTCGGGCTCAAGGCTGTTGGACACCGACTCCTGATGGTCTACGGTCCACGGTTCTGGCAAAAACCAAACCGGCAATTTCTGACACATGTGTGCCTCCTACTTCGCGAGGACTCCCCGCATTGCAGGGTTAAGGGTTCCTCCATAGTTTGGGGACGTATTGTCGTTGATGAAAGGAGAGCTGTTGCAATCATGATGTGTTAACAGCAGCATCTCATGTACATGCATGAGTAGCTGGCTAACGATCCTAAGGACCCTCGTCGAGGGGGGAGATGTGTGACAACGCGCACTCGTGTCAAGCATTCCATAGATGTTCATCGACTAGAGTCGGGGAACTAGAGCCGCCAAACATGTTGGAGCTTAGCTTGGGGAGATGCACCATCACCAACCAAGGCAGGACAAATTCGACTGACACGAACAGCTCCGGCTTAGTGAGTGCCTGCAGCATTGCGACGCGCTCTGCGTGGCCCCCGCGACTATGCGAAGTGCTGGCCAGTGGGAGCAGCAGCTTCTCTGCTGCCTCGCCGGTGAAACCCGTCGCCTAAACCTGCCACAAAAAACCTCGAATGGAAAAGCTTCGGTCTGCTGTTCCTCCAGCATCTAAGCTCGAGCAAGATCTGAAACTCCAATCAGCGAAGCCAGCCAAACGAAAAATCTTCCAGGCCCTGCATCAAAACCGATTCCACCTGCCAGTGAGGGCAGAAGTCCCGCTCTGCGCGGCCGTATGACACGACCTCCAAACTTTAGCGCAAAGCTCGCGCGGGCTGAGAGTTTCGGGTGACGGGTGCTGGTGTTGAGGGACTGGGCGGGAGTGCGGGGTTGGGGTTTTAGTTTCGAGGCTCGGACGTTAACCGCCTCTGAGTCTTCAGCCAGGGCTATCTGCATGGGATGCTTCCATTGCAGCCAGTCATAGTTTCCTGGAGCTCTTCGTCATGCCAAACCACCAAGGACATATCAGAGCAACAGGACATACGAGTGTCAAGGTTCCTGAAGCAGTGGAATAATATGTTGAGATCTGGCTACCTCAACCGTTGAACAGGCGAAGCGGGCATCTCCATGACAAGCTGACATGATATCAGCAGGATTTGACCGGGTAAGCTCATACGGCAACTAGTTACCGCACTAGGGGCGTGGCAACAACACTGAAGCATGCACGATCCACTCCCTGCGCACCATTGAACGCAAGAATGTCTTGCATGGAAGCTTTTGAAAGTGGCGTCAACATAAAAATAGCTATGGACATCCGCACACCCCATTAAACCAGGAAGCCTTGCCTCATAAAATAGCAGACTAAACAGACGCGACATCATTAGCCCAACAGGGTCCGAACGACTGCTAGAGGTCGTGCTGGAGGGAAGTTTAATCAGAATAGAAACTTTGTCCTGCAAACCTGGAGCAGAAACCTACTCTGGGTTGAGAGCGGGAAGCAAACCCCAACCAAGGTTTGACTTACCCGGACTGAAAAACCCTTAACCGCACAACTCCAACCCCTAAACCCTTAGTCAACCCTGCTGAACCCGGAACCCCCACACCCGTTTTGAACCCGGACTCTGATTACCCATACACCCTAGCCCCTTTTTTGCAACAGGCTTTCCACTTCGCCCGGAGTTGGAGCAAGCTGCCCCAGCAGCTTTACTGCGGAGCCAGCTTTCGCATCCGCCGATACACCCTAGCCCCTGAACCCTAAACTCCTGCGCAAAAAAACATTCCCGCCGGCCTGCCCGGGCTCGGAGAGCTCGGCGTTCGAACCGGGACTTCGGAGCTGCAAGTCATAGGAAAGCCAAGCCAGCACCTGCAAAAACAAAACGGTGTCTGTTTTAAGGTTTGGGGTTTAGGGTTTGGGTTTAGGGTTTTTTGGGTTTAGGGCTTCGGGCGTAAGGTTTCCATAAGGTTGGTGCGCCTGTCGTAACTCGGCAGTTTGGCTGTTGCAACAAACGTTTTTGTGGCAGGCGCGGGGCTGATAAATACTGGCGGCTTCTAAGACTTCTACACACACTAGTCACTATTTTTTAATGATAATGATGATAGTATGGTTTTTCATGCTCGCCATCACCATGACGTTCTGGTCCTCATGCAAAACCATAGAAATCGCAACTCACGAGCTCAGGGACTGTCACATGACATAGGACACATTATTGACCTTCCACTGTAGGAAACCCACTATGACCACAGAATGCCGCATAACGGATTACACAAATAGACAGACGAGAAATAAAGATGATACTACAAAGCCTCATATAATCAAAAACCGGATGTGCGAACTATACGAACGTGGAATGGTGATTTAACACAAGCCCATGTTGACAAGAATGTGATGGTAAGAGTCTGACACGAATCATTCAATGTGTCAATGGCCGCTGCCGCCACATCTGCTGGACGTGTGCCCCATGACACTTTTCGAGTCTAGATCGAACGTCGCATGTCGTTCGGGGTTTCGGTGCGCGACAACAGCAGGCCCGAAGCAAATCTCAGGTTGTTGTCCTGGCTGACCATCTCTGAGTGATCCGCAAGTTCTACAATCAAGGCTCAGAGACCAGTCTCCAGATCCAATAGCCAAGTTGGGATGCGAGGATTCTCATGAAAAGAGCAGGGAAGACTCCCTTGAAGGTTGTCCCATACTGTTTCTGTGGTCATTTCAGCTCCTGCCTTGGCCTTGACTCTCCTTCCTCCCGCAAACTTAGAACAAAAAGCGCCTTGGACTGGTGCAAGCCCACGCGATAGCTCTTGCCCCTCTGAGCGCCGTCCTGGATCCACAGATTGCGGTCCAGGACTTCTGACATGCTAGCCGGCGCACAACAGATGACTAAGTCGATTCGTAAACCCGAAGCCTGACATCACAAGCAAACATGACAAACTCTGGATCTGCAGCCCAGCGCGATGATGCAGTCCTGCATGCGCTCCGGAGATGTGCACTGCGAGGACGTCTTCTCGAATGCCTGTTCTGCGTAATTACGCCCTGGCTCCGAAGGGGATTCTCCGACAAGGCGGCATTACTACTACTACCATGATAACTCTACTACTACCATCATTACTCTACTACTACTACTACTACCACCACCACCACCACCACTACTAGTCTTAAGACCACTACTGCTATTAAACCATTACCGCTACTGTTACTGTTCCCGTTGTTACTACTACTTCCAAGCGAACCGGGAGTCACACGGGCCTATGAGGTCTGAAGTCCGGAGCACAAACGCGCAGATCTTGTCTGAACTCAGACTCTGCTCCGATTTGCAAGGAAGCAGGCACTGTGAGCCATAAACCTTAAAGCCTGGATTCTAGATCCTGAACCCCACTTCCCAATGCACAGGCTACCTCCAGGGCGTTTCTGGCCCCCGTGGTCCATTCACCGGGGCTCCAAAGCCCACAGCGGGACGCCAGGAGCCTTAGGATAGGACCTAGCTGTAAAAGGGTCTTGGAGTTTGGCTGTCTCGGGGTCAGGCTTTGAAGCCTGGCTTGGTTTAGGAATTCGGGGTTTTGGGCCGGGGTCTTGGCGGTAAGTGCTACCGGGATTATTTGATTACAGCCCTGAACTCGAAACCGTAGAAGACTGATTGACTTGGGTGACCTTGTTGCACCCATTTTAAGTTTAGGGTGTTGGTGATCAGGTGAAGCAGATCCGGCGGGAGTGGTTTCAGCATGTCAGGCGTTCAACGCTCAGGACTAGCACGGTTTAGGGTTTAGGGTTTAGGGGGTTTTGGGGTATACTACACTATAACGATATGGAACCCCCAAAATAGGATTGGTAATTCTTTAGGCTCCTATAGTAAGCACAGCCAGGCGAGGATCCCAGTGCGACGACAGGGCCCCCAAAAAGAAAATCTCTGAGGCTCTTCGGTTCTTCAGGGGCCCTTTAAAGTAGGAGTAGGGTTTAGGGTTTAGGGTTTAGGGTTTAGGGTTTAGGGTTTAGGGTTTAGGGTTTAGGGTGGAGCCAGAAAGTTGGAACATCATCATCCCCATGCCCTTGAGGTAGAGTATAGGGAATCCCAGCACCAATCATCCTACATCCATGTTCCAACTTTCTGGGGTTCACTATCAGGCTTAAGGGATCTATAATGGTGCGTCTTCTTAGGGTTTGAGGGCTCCGGGTCCCAGCAGTCGCACTCAAACCTTAAACTCGGCCATAAACCTTCAACCCTAAACCTGGAACCGTAAACCGTAAACCCTACAAGCCCTAAACCTTAACCCCTATATCATACAAAACCTAGGACCTAGAACCTAAACCCGAAAACTAGGCCCGAAATCCACAAGAGCTCCCTACCCTAGACCCTAAACCCGAAAACTAGGCCCGAAATCCACAAAAGCTCCCTACTTCAAACTGAGGTGCTCGGAGTACTCTGGTCCCAGATGTTCCAACTGTAGGTCGCCAACCTTTTCACTGAAATCGCTCAGGGCTGCTAAGGCTGCAGGGATAAGGTAAAGTTTATGGGTTTAGGGTTTAGGGTTTAGGGTTTAGGTGAGGGATCCACGTTTCGGGCATTGGACTGCCTTTTATTGGTGGATTTCGCACTCGCTTTCTTTCTTCAGGAAGGTTTTGACTTGGCTCATACACTCAACTAGGCCCGGACCTGGGAGGACCAACTACAAATAGGGTTTAGGGTTTAGGGTTTAGGGTTTTAGGGTTTAGGGTTTCGGGTTTCGGGTTTCATTAAGCACCTCTAGTCCAAACTTCAAAACTAGTTGCCTGAGGGTCTCGACCCTCGCACTCGGACAATGATTTGACGGCTTCGGGTTTCAGATGTAGGATCTGGTCTAGTCTAGGCCCTAAACCCTAAACCCTAAACCCTAAACCCCAAACCCTAGGGTCTTGCGATTTAATGGTTTGGTTTTCGGGTTTAGGCGGCGGGCCTTGTGTCGCATCGGGCTCAAGGCCCATCGGACCTGAATTACCCTTTTTGCATCCAGGCCTATTGCAACTGCCGGGTACCCCTGAATTACCCTTAAACCCCTAAACCTTAAACCCCTGCTTGAACTCTCACAGTTTAAGGAGCTCGGAATTTCAATTCATCGCTTCCCTAAGACTTTCAGATAGACATGCAGAAAACCAGCAACCAAGGCTCCAGGACCTTCCTTCTCGGTGACCCTAAACCCTAAACCCTAGACCCTTGTCTCGTTGGGGTTTAGAGCAGAGGTCCACTGAGTTGAAATCCTAGAGGCCACACCGCTCGAAATCAGTTTTTGAAAACTTGGGCGGCAGCTTGTAGTGATCGTTCTCGATGGTGCCAAACGGAAAAGTCGGTAGCTGCAGCCCAAAAAATCCATTCTGAAATGTATGCAGCAGTCAACAAGAAGACCTAAACATGTAGTTCCTCCAATGTCGGTTTTGAGGGGCCGCAGATGTGCAAATGTGTGTAAGCCCCAGAAGAAAGGTAGAACTCTTATACAGAACCCCTGGAGCCCTGAAACCTAAATCATGAACCCTATACTATACCCTACTATAGCTGCTTCTGTGGTTCCATCAACACTGGCGAGCGGCCCAGGCTTCTACAAGACCGAGCTCCTGCCTCATGTCCATCATCCGCTGCGCTGTGTCCTGGGATCTGCTTCAAGGTTTCGGGTTGCGGTACACTTCTCGATGTGTGCGGGCTTACGGTTTAGGGTTTAGGGCTTAGGATAGTTTCCGTTCTACCGTAGTTTGGGGCTTAGGGGCTAGACTCTCGCAACTTGCGAGGGGTTAAGGTTTACAGTGTCGGATGCCGAGCCTGAAGGCCTTGGGGATACCTGCTGCGAGGGAGCTAAACTTTAATCTAAACCCTCCTTCCTATACTGAACTTAGACCCCTAGCAAAAATTATAATTTTCGCCGCTTCTCAGGGTTTATAGTAGCCAAAGATTAAAAATTATTTCTAAAAACCCCTAAGCTTCTGTCTCAGCATTCGAGCACTTCGAGCTTTCAAATTGATTTGAAACACGCTCGGGCCAGAAGACCTAAAGGGATTGTCACCCAACAGCCATGACCTTGGCACGCTGTTTGAAGTTTGCAGGAACCGCACGCTGCCCAGACTTTCTCCGAACTTTCTGAATGACGGAAACTCCGAAAGGAAAGACATGTCCGTGATTTCGGCGATTTCGGGTCAGCGACCACCACAGCTGTAACGAACGGGCGCCTTGAAGCAGGAACGAATCCTAAACTGGACACCGAGATGCACCCAAAGTCCTCCAAGTAAAGTGCCAATGGCACCTTTCAGACCTACTCTCTTCAACAACCAGGCCCGGCGGACGAAACCAAACCAAAATTTCTTTTGGGAGGAGACAAACACCGGCAGTCAAAAAGTTGATAAACTTGAGGCATACAGTTGTAAGAAAACTTAGCAAGGTCTTACAGTCAGGGCGGAAACAAACACAAGCCCTTCCACTTCGAAGCCACTGTCGCAAACTAACCTCATATTTGCAGTAACATATAGGTCTCACCCTCGCACGCAGCAGGCAAGGATCCTCATGAACATATAGGGTTTAGGGTTTAGGGAAACCACAAACCCCCCGAGGCGCCCTAGATTCCTAGATTCTGACGGTGGTGCCAAAGCGTCTCCCTCGGCCTCTGTGACGCGCCGCAAACGCTGAAGTTTCTCACCTCATTACGGAAGAACTCAGGAAACCCAAAGCGGGCAGGGGACGGTTGTACTTCAGCCAGAATATAGGGGCCGTAATAATTAGGATGGAGCTTTGGCGGGGGCTTCATCGTTACAAAAGTTCTTTGGGTATAACTCCCATAAATCCGATAGAGGCTGCCTAGGGGTGCATGGTGCAAGGTCTCGCAGTGAAGGCTTCGGTTCCAAGGCGATTGAACGTTTTGTTTGAAAGCTCAAGTTCCCGACTGCAGAAGGGAAGCTGGATGTCAAGTTGTGGTGGAGACCTACCCTGCGACAAGATGCAGTCTAATCATGGCATCGATGCAAGACTGATCTACAAAAAAGGGGGCCCCACAGTTATGAATAGCGTTGAAACAACGACCGCTTCGTTTCTGAATCACTGAAGCGGCACAGAGCGGAGCAAAGATGGCGGCGTTGAACCGGGCCTTTAAGGCTTCCCACTTCTCTCTGTCTTCCACTGTGCCTGAAAGGGGCTCTTCCAGGCCAGATAAGACATGAACCCAGCCCTCAGCCGTAGCTCCGAAGTCGTGTCCAAAGGAATCTCCAGGCTGGCGCAGCGCATGATCTGCGATCATCCGGGCGGTGCTGACATCCATCTGGCTCGACATTGCGAGTGCCCAGGCGACATTCCCGATGTCGAGCGGCTTGAGGGTGCCAAACTGCTCCCGGACAGCCCGAGCCAAAGCTTGGAACAAGGCGTCATCCGGCCACTGGAGCATGGCAAAGGCCCACAAAACACATCCCAAATCCTGCGCGCACATGCGCTTCAGCCGGTTCTTCGGCCCGAAAAGCATGTCCTGCGCAGCTTCCCCAAGAAGATTTGCATCCCGCCACCACACCTCAGTCGCTGAAGGCTGCGTTTCGGAGACTTGACATGACTAATCGATGCTTTCTGGCCTAGCAACAACGCCGCTATTCTATCAAAGCGTTTGCGGCAACTGTAAATGCAATCGACGACGCTTTCGCAAAGGACCACAGAAGCTGCGAGAGGTCGAAGTTGTCGAACTCTGCGATTCTGCCCTTTGCGTGCTCTGCAACAGCGGCAAACAAATCCTCGTGGTACCTTGCTTGTTGCCAAGGCAGTTTACTTTTGATACCTGCAAGAACGGGGCATCCCGACACATGAATAATTCTCCCCTTCGTCGGTGCGCATGTGCATAGCTACGGCAGAAAAAGCTTCAGACTCAATCTACGTAGGCACCACCAGGCTCAACATATTAAGGGGAAGCAACGAAACACTGCCCGGTGCTCTCCAAAGGTACATGGTCTGGTTTGCGAAGGTCCACAACAAGTTGGCCAGCTCCTGCGGAGAACAATACTGCTGCGTCGAGAAGCTCCGAGCCTCCTACATACCTCTGTTGATGTTAGCATGGAGACGTTCGAGCTGGGGGCGAGGGTTATCGAGTTGTCCACAGTTACAACAAGACAGATCTTAGTTGAATCAGTAAACCTTGTTATGTAGCTTCCGGCAAGGCCTTCACCTGAGAAACTCCCGGCTCCTGCGTTTTAAAGGTGCCCAGCTTGGGAATCGCTGCCTCTGCTCCTGCATCGAAGAAGCTCCGAAACATGCCGAGCTTGCCATGGATGCGAGAGAACGCCCAGAGAATGTTGGTGATGTGCTGCGACGACACCTGCATGGGAAAGCCCTAGCAGGCTGAAACACTACCAACCTTTGGGCGGTTGTCAAAATTATGGCCCCTTTTTGGGTCCTTATTTTAATACGGCACCTAGTCTTTAGGGTACCCCAAGAGGGACCATAATAATTTTGACAACTACCTGATGTGATTCACCTCATTGCACCTTATGCGTGTCGTCGTCAAAGACTTGAGGATGTCGCGCCACCTCTTGAAAAAGCGCATGGTTCGGAAGCCGCACCTGTGAGAAAGACCACAGGATGTTGCTCAAGTTCTGCCCGCCCAACTCCTGGGAAGCCAGAAGCTCCCTCGTCCTCCTGGAGGCCACGAAGAAAAGCCTCCGGTTCACTTGCCTTGTCACGGCACAACCCCAGAGTAGATTCCCCAAGGATTGGCCATCGAAGTCGGGAATCCGGGGAACTGCGGCCTCAGCCAATGGCCTGAAAAGTGCCGTGAAGTGCTCACCCCGGAGCTTCAGCGCGGGGCAGCGCTGCAGTGTGGCAAACGACCAGGCGGTGATGGCTACGTGCCGAGGCTGCAGCTCACCTGCAGGCGGAAAGAGCCGCGAGATCTTGAAAGCTACAAAACTGCTGACGTGCTGCTACAGCTGTTTTCCTTCAGACACCACCTAAACCTGATAAGCTGCTCGGGCTGTTGGCATACCGAAAGATGTCTGCCAGACGATGGCTGAGCAGGACAAGGACCTCCACCGTGGCGCTGGCCAGCTCTGCGCCGACGCCATTGCCGCTGGACCAGCCGCGGGCCAGCCGGTGTAATGCGGTCGTGGCACTGACGACGCCCATTTCTGGCTCCTCCTGCAGCGACTTCTGGACCATACGGATGAAGTCTGCCAGGTCGCCTGGGCCCGACTTCTCTCTGCTGCAGAGATGCTCTGTAGGGCTACTGGGCTACTTTCAGTCGGGACACCTTGCTCATAAGCCTGCACGAAAGCCAAGTGAGGCGCCGAGCGCGGCGGCAGGCGAGCTGCTGGCTTGAAGGTGCCATACAAGCTGCCAAGCCCGTCCACCATCAATCCAATGCAGAGCTGTCTCTTGTGACCACCACAAGTATCAGAAACTACAGCACATGGCAGGGCCCGACTTGTTGCGCATATTGTCTTGTCTTCACCATGACAAGGTTTATGAAACCACACTCTTGCATGCTGTGAGCAGGGTTTGACAAGCCTTCGAACCAGCACCAAATCACCTACTCATGCGAGCCTCTTCTTGCAGGCCGAGCCTTTTGTCATCTTGTACACACATGACCCCATCCCCCCCCCCACCTTCGGGACTTCTATCATTCGGAAGATGACCGAACCTTGTATGTGTGATCCACCTCTGAACTGCCTAGCTTACTTACAAAGACCATCAGATCAAAGATCCCAGACATAGCTCGACATCAAAATGCTGATCCAAACCATCATCTGCAGGAAACCGTGGACACGGGCTTCCCGAAAAGGAAATAGTTCCGCCTTGGGCCTGCAAGGAGGGCAGTGGGGGGTGGGAGGGGGACCTCGATACCACCTACTGTCCAGTATCCTAGGGAAACTTAAGCTTAACGGTTGTTTCTTTTTGTTGAAACCTCTTTTCCACCTGCCCGTTAAGTTAGGTCGAATGCCAGGGTTGGCTGAGGCTGTAGCTGGTTGCTTTCGGCGAAGACAGTATTGCCCATTCCAACTTATACTAGAATATTTAGCCATCATCCCCATCGGCCTTCCAAGCAGAGCTCTTCGCACGGAGCAAGCTCTACATACGGTTGCAAGATTGGCAACTCATCCCTCGACATTACCCCTCGGGTTCGTTAAACTTAAAAACCTGTAAGTAGCGCAGCAACCAGCAAAGTAGTGAAATCCCATTCCTTGGGGTTGCGACGGCTCGGAATCTCAGATCTTCACGCAACCCTTAACGGTTTTGGGTTTAGAGCTTAGGGTTTAGGAACCCTAAACCTTAAACCGTCTTAACCTTTGGGGATATTATACGGGCTTATAAGGGGACGAATTTTATACATGCGGAACTTGTTAAGTTGCGTCGGGCCCGAGGCAGCCAAGTCTATTTGCAATGGTGGAACATGTGGCTTTAGAAATGCGGACACTGTTCAATAGAACTTGATTACTACCTCCGTGGCCTTAGCGGTCCGACCGCTTTGACAAAAAAATTGCCGCAAAGGTTATAGTGGCCCAAACACGTCAAAGGCTACCTGCTCTACTGCTAAGATCATGAGCGCTATCGGCCGACGGCTTCGCTTGAGACTTGGAAATGATTTCAGATCATCCCCGGCGAGCCTTGCAATCGCGGTGCCGGGACAGGTGGCACGAATACATCGTCCTGGGCAAGAAACAGTTGAATGAGCACTGCCACAAAGAATGACAAGAGGTACGCAATATCCGCGACATAACGGTACTACGTACAGTGTATGTGTGTATGTACGTACATACACATGTCCACCCTTTACCTTTTTACCGGTTTGTGTGTGTGTGTGTGTCTACAGACGTATGTACGCATGCATGCATGCACGCATGTGTGCACGCATGTGGGTATGTACGTATGTACGTATGTATGTATGTATGTATGTATGTATGTATGTATGTATGTACGAATGGATGGATGGATGGATGGATGGATGGATGGATGGATGGATGGATGGATGGATGGATGGATGGATGGATGGATGGATGGATGGATGTATGGATGCATGCATGCATGCATGCATGCATGCATGCATGT